TCCTTCACAAGCAAGAAGAAAGACCATTGCATCCGTAACAAGTGTCTCATCATTTCGGCTCAGTCTTTTCGGGAACGAAGCAGTTCCATGCGTTCAGCAGTTGCCATAGTGCGTTGTAAAAGACCCAGTTCCCGACGCTTTTATACCCACCCCTATTTTGGGGGCGGACTCTTTATTCCAATTCGCTCGTTCTTTTCAAGATGTGAATAAAGGTGCACAATGCACCTTTATTCGCATCTTTTTTGTTCGACGAAAAGATGAGAAGACAGCTGTGCACCATTAGTGCATTAACACTTTTAAATTTGACCAAATCGAAGTCTCCATTTTTTTCTTTCACAGAACCCTTTCTATTTTGAGCTTGATTTGGATCATATCGGCGGTACACTCGCAATTATAACGGGATTGAAAATTTGTTGTTTTTGATAAAAAATGCAAATGTTTTTACTCTAAAAAAATTGTTTAAAAAATAGTTATAATTAATAATTATATAATTTAATTAAAAAAAATTATAAAATATAAATTTTTGAATAATTAAAAAATGTTTGAAAAAAAAAATTTGTTATTTCTTTACAAAATAAGGTTATTATTACAAATATTTATTATTAAAATTAAAAATTACAATTAACTTATTATTTTAATTCTATTTAATTATTTATGTTATGTCATTTTAGAACTTAAAAGATATAAACATATTATAACTTTGGATGGATGTTCCAAAAGCATACATAGAATTAACACCAAACATATATTACAACTCCTTTGACCATTGTTCCTACTTTATAACACCACAGAACAATTTTACACAAAATCGCTTTAATGCTATAGACTCAACTACGACACCAAACCACCACATTTACATCATCTCATCAACACCTATGCCTTTGCTTAGGTATTCTTTGCCACAACTTCCACTCACACTAACTCAATTTTTCAAAGAAAATCTTCCAACAGAAAATATAATGCTCAACATCACAAGACAATTAATCGACTCAATCAACATTTTACACCTCAACAAAGTGTATCACGGCAATTTGACACCCGACACGGTTTACATTTCAAAAAGCACTTTTCAACTTGGGTTGGTGCTTTTCCATTTTCCTGTTGTCACAATACAACACGACGAAATCCTTACTTCAAGGCAGTATGATGTTACAGACAATCCTGATTCATTTTACTTCCAAAAGGACATTACCGCGATTCCTATGATACTCCTTGCTCCTTTTGGATATTCAAAAAATTCACCAACGGCCTTTACTTCCTCAAGAAAATTGGCACGAAAGTGTTCGGAGATGTTGGATAATGTCATTGACATCTTCTTTACATCACCAACACCACTTTTAACATCAAAACAGTTGCTCCAACAATTTCCAGACTCGTTGTATGTCTCAATTAAAACATCGCCCCACCTCTTTTTTCCAACGTATTTACAAGCAAAATACAACACTAAAAACGAGTGTGACGTTTTGTTCTACTCGACTAATATCTTCCCACATCTGTTTGTACCAACACTTCCTGACAGTGTTTTGTCAACGCGATTTGTCACCCCCAATTTTGAACACACCACACTCACTGTGTACAAAACGTCGTTACCAAAATTCTCAATCATCGGAGCGAACTTCTTTGTGAAACTCCCGAAGAACCAATTTCGCGCTTGTGCACTCGCGCAATTGCTCTTCCTTTTTTTGAACCCATCAAACACTTTTAAACACATCACTTTCAGTTCTATTGATCTTGCACTCTTTTTGGGAGAACCCACAGAGACCGCGTTAAACAAGAAGGAGCTCCAAATACCACTAAATCCACTCAAAGGTTTTGAAAAGGAATTACCCGGTGGTATGGAGTCATTCCGAAAAAGGCGACAGTTTCTTTGTGGTCGTCTGCATGTTGTTGTAGCTCCACAAAACCAAACAACCTACAGTGTCAAATTTTTGTTACAAGTCTGCGCGAAATTACGAGCGTTAGGTATTGTAGTGGAATGCAAAACTAATTTGGTTTCATTGGGTGAAACGGTGCTCTCGACAAAGAAAATAGTATTTGTGTCTTCCACATCAACGCGTGTCTGTGGTGTTGTTATCGAAGAAAATGCAACGGAGTCTGCAATCAAAAATGTCATCCAAAAAAAGTTTGGCTGCGAGAAGATATTTTCAAGTCACTTAAAACATGAGAAACAGTGTTACTCGGAGTTCTCCAATTTTAAAGAACTCTGTGGGGTGTTGAAAGGAGACGAGAAACTTTGGAAAACTAATGCGGAGATTGTTTGGGCAAAGAGTGTGTTCGAGTGCACACGAGATCTATTTTCCCAAAAGACTCGACTGCAGAGGATTGGCGAGAACATCAAGGGTGGGCTCTGTAGCGTTTTTCCTTCTCAGAAGTAAAGAGTGTTAAAATAGTTTATTTTATAGTTATTTAATTATTTGTTATAATAAAAGTAGAGGACAATAGAATACAATTATTGTTTAGATGCTGGAGACGGTATAACCGTACCATCCTTCTTGATGAACAAATAGGGATTCTCGGAAAAGGACAAGTCTGTGTCTTGGGTATCCTGTGGTACGAGGGATGGGCGCTGTGATGTTGTATCATAAGGAATTGCAGATATTGATAAGTCTCTTCTTGTGGGGGAATCTGTTCGTGGTGACAGACTTTGTTTCTGTGGTATAATGGAGACAGAAGCTCTGTTAGATTCACTCATCAATTGTTCGTTTAACTGTTTTTCCAAGATTCGAAAACTTCGTTCAAAAAACATTTTATATAACATTTTTACATTTCAAAGAGTTTTCTCTGTGATTGTTTAATTAATATTTAATCTATACTTTAAAACTATAATATTTAATAATTTATAGTTAAGTTTATTATTATATTTTAAACTAGATTGTATATTAGTAATACCAATTAAAAGTAGTTAATTAATACTAAAACCAAGTAAAAAAGGCATCTAACTTATGTGATAACAGAAGGTCTTTCTCTGCCAGTGAACCTTGTGATTTGACTCAATGAATAAGCCAACGTAACCATCTCTTTGAGAACAACATTTGGATCTTCCTTGAAATTTTTGGAATACTTGTCGAAGTAAACTCTAACAGTGGCTCCGACAGAACCGGTTCCAGAAAGTCTAAAAATGATTCTCGAGCCATCTTCAAAGACAAATCTGATACCCTGTTTCTTTGTTACACTTCCATCAACACTGTCACGATATTCAAAGTCGTCACAGAACTTCAATGGAACTCCACTCAAATCAGCTTTCGCCGTCTTTGCGTTGTCTCGCATTGCTTGCATCATGTCTTCAGCCTTTTGTTTATCAACTTCATCAAAGTCGTATCGTTGATAATAGTTTCTTCCATATTTGGCCCAATGTGCTTCCAAGACGTCTTTGATTCCAACCAACTTGCCGGCTTTCTCCGACTCACCGGCCAACACTGAGACCCAACAGAGTGCGGCCCAGATACCATCTTTCTCTCTAATACCACAGCATCCAGTTCCAAAGGATTCTTCCCCACACAATGAAATCTTTCCACTGTCCATTAAGTTACCAAAGAATTTCCATCCTGTTGGAGTTTCAGTAATACTACAAACGCGGTCAACAGCAGCGGATGTTGGCATTGAACGAGCGACTCCTTTGAACCCATTTTTAACAAAGAATGGGATATATTCGTATTTAGTGGATAATATGGCAAGAGAGTCTGACGGACTAACGAAAGCCCCACGACCGACAATCAAGTTTCTGTCTCCATCACCATCAAAAGCGAATCCAACGTCATACTTGGAGTCATCTTTCATCACTTCACCAACTAATTCAGCAGCGTATGTCAAGTTGGGGTCCGGGTGCTTTCCACCAAAGTCTGGGAGACTGACAGGGTTTTTCAAAGAGTCTTCCCCGAGTCCTAACAACTCACAAAACACCTTTTTGTTGTAAGGTCCAGTTACTGCATTAAATGAGTCAACCAACAGTTTCAAGTTGTATTTTGCGATGAACTCTTTCAGTTTTGCAAAGTCGAAGCACTCGTGGAGGTAAGCCAAGTAGTCCACGAATGGGTCAATAACATGAATAGTTGAAATAAGACCGTTGCACTCAACCTGAATGTCTCCAATAGTGTCGACCTTCAATGGTGTTTCAAACTCAGCAATCACTAACTCCTTGATCTCTCGAGCCGCCTCTTCGATTTTGGAAGTGACTTCAATTGGTGCAGGGCCACCATTCGACATGTTCAATTTCAGTCCAAAGTCGCCGTGAGCTTGTCCAGCTGGATTATGTGAAGCTGTCATAATGAAACCGGCTTGGATGTGATTTCTAATAATGGTCGCCGACTCGGCTGGGGTCGACATCATACCATTTTGTGAGACGACGATGTCTGTGAAGCCATGAGCAATAGCGACTCGAACAATGATGTCGAGTGCTTTCAAGTTCAAAAATCTCCCATCACCTCCGATGATGATTTTGCCAGGTTTTTGGAGATTTGATGCTCCTTTGAACATGGCGCATACAAAGTTTTCCAAGTAGCTTGGGGTGCTCTCAATCTCACTCACACGTTTTCGCAGACCGGATGTACCCATCGTCTGCCCCGCGATGGGTGTGGTTGGTATCTTCTTAATGACAGCTTTCATATGACTTTTTCTCAAACTGGATCTTCTTAAATACGATGATCAGGTGGTGCGATGTGGCATATCCCGAAATTTTGTTTTTTTCATGATTATCATTCTTTTTGTTCATCATTTCGGGAGGTTCGTATATGATTTTTTTTGTATTTATTTCTTGTTTTTTTGCCGTTCGACCATAGAAAACAAGACTGACTTCAACAAAAACAACCAACTTAACAATTAACAAAGTAACTAAAAGGCAAACTAAAAAATATCCCTCAAACTTTTTGCGACAATTTTGTCTATAAAGTGGTAATATGTGGCAACAAAAACACAATCATATCATTATTACATGACTAATTTGTTCATTCGGTTAAAACGTGTGACATTAACTTACCATTTTTTGTTAGGTATTTGATGTAAAGTTTTGAATCCCAAATAGTGACAAATCACCTGACTGTTATTCATCTTTTTTAAGTCATTATGGACTTAACTCACAGACCTGAGGCAAATTCGATTAAATTAATATCTATCAGTAATAGTAAAATTATAACAATTTATAGCTTTTTGTAGATTCATTGTACAGGCAGTGAAGTGAAGGTATAATTTTCAATTGAATATTAAATAAAAGTATTTTGAGAATAATACAACAATTTTACGTTATATTTTTACTGTTTTTTAAGGTTTAAATTTTTAGTCAATAAAACTAAAAAAAATAATTTGAAAAAATTTAGACCCATTTTTAGATTCTTTTTAAATTCGACTTTGTTGAAAAAAGTTGAAAAATAAAATTGAACAAACTTAAAAAATATTGAAGTTGAAAGAAGAAAAAGGCAAACACCAAGCATTAACTCTTGTTAAAAAAGAAAACAAAGATTAAATATTTTTGGTGTCATATTATACGTTTGTTATTGTTATAATGTTATTATTTAGCCACTTATTACATAAATATTCGAACATTAAATTTTATTACATCATCTTTAAGATCTTTAATTAATGGTAAGTTGTGAGTGTGGTTATTGGCTATTGGGCGATATACTAAAAACAAACACACTTATCATCTGTTTAAGTTGTGATGAAGCAGGATATATGGAGTTTGCTTTGTTGCCAAGTAAGTTAAGTGATGGTTTTGTATTGGTTTATTCGCTTCTTGATTTATGTGTGGTTGTTGTTTTTCTTTAGTTTTTAAATGATTAAAATGACTATAAAATATCATTTCCAAACAAACAAAATGGTAACAAGATAATCAAAATGTCAATATTTATTATAATAATAAAGACAAATTCGGCTTGTTAAATAAGTGTTTTATTGAAAATGAAATTTCGGCCAATCAAAATAAAATATTTCGAGATAAGAAAACCCTTTTATTTAGTATTCAATTGAAATTTTATACCTTCACTTCACTGCCTGTATAGTTTAAATCAATAGATAAATAATTATATTATATAAGTAAATCCAACCAATGAAAAAAATATCAAATTCTTATTCCTGTACGAGTCCCCACTGTTTCTTAAGCTCTTCGAGCTCGACTGGCCTTTTTTCATTCGCGACATCGTTGTTCTTGGCTTCTGCAAATCGTGGTGATGCGGTTACTACACATGAATACACATCTTCTGCGACAGAAAAAGTTGTCTTTTTATACAAAAGTTGAATAATGGACAATAAAGAATGATTCTTTCTCAATATGTTTAGAACTATTCATTTATAGTATAATTGTTATAAATAAACCATATAAAACACAAACCAGAGAAGGAGAATCTGTCGAAAGATTTGTTGAATCTTCCTTTCATTGAGAATGTGCAGCACCTTGGTCTGTTTTCGGGTTTTTTTCTCTCGGGGACACCATGTGGAAGTCTATCTACAAATGATCTGCTTCTGCTTGCTGCTGTTCTGAAACTGTCTGTTTCATGAGACGCCTCGTTCAAGTCGAGTGGTTGTAAGAAGTCTTCCACTGATATTCCTCTTTTTGACTTATCCTTTGTTGGCATGACGGGCATTTTGATTTCTTTTTTTGGTTCTGTTGTCTCGGGTTTGACTTCCTTTGGTTCGTCGACCAATCTGAATTTGATTGGCTTATCATCAGAGTCGTCGACGAAGTCGTGGTACATTGAGAATGCATACAGTTTCTTTGCAAGTGCGTTGATAGTCTCTCCAAGCACTGGGAGTGAAAAAGAAACGCCGTTCTGGAACTTCGGCAACCAAAACGGATGTGGCACTGAGTTGTAAGATAAGAAGGACAGTTCGTTATCCAACAACACCAAAACAGCACCGTCGTTGTCATACACATCACAGTAATTTGGTGCAGTGAAAAGTGTCATAACAAGTGGATGTGTAATGTCGTCTCTATTAAAGTAGTGTAAGTTACAGCCTTCCTTTTGCACTTCATGTGCTCGGATGATCGACGTCAATTCATTTTTCTTCAAGAATTCGTCGACACCAGCAAACCCGTAACAATAGCTGCACCCTCGAATCTTGTTCTCTGTGAATGATATCCGCTGCCATTCTTCTTTCTGCTTTTCGTTGAGTCGAGCGTACACACTTTCATCAACTGGATCAGACCACAACAAATCACAGAAGAGACCAGCGGCTGGGGGTTCTCTGAATCTATTGAATTTGTTAATATCTTGGAGGCTATTCAAATTTGGGGAAATGCCTCCGTGCACACAGAAGAACTTCCCGAGTTCAGAATGGAGCAACGCGCAGATTGGTAAGCAGTCGAAAGTCTTCATCACCTCGTTATAAATTTGGTCACCATATTTGAAGCAGCACTCTTGTCTAAAGTTGAAAAAGGTAGTCAAAAGTCTGCACTCATGGTTCCCTCTGAGGAGATGGATTCTGTCTGGGTAAGTCACTTTCATTGAGAAAAGGAGGAGGATGTTCTCACACCCAAAGTATCCTCGATCAACATAGTCGCCCAAGAAGAGCATGTGAGTGTCGCTTGGCTGCGGATAGTCGAGAAGGATATTTGCTAAGTCGTAGAATTGTCCATGAAGATCGCCGAAGATGACACAAGGAGAGTCTATGTCGAGCAAGTTCGGCTCGTTAGAGATGATTTTCGCGCACCTCTTCAAGATATCCGACACTGCGGATTTGTCGAGGCGACCCTCTTGTTTGAAGTGTTCCATGATTTTGTCGATATCATACCCGTCGTTGAGGACAATGTCTTCTATTTTCAAATCGGCTGGTGGTGGCGCCATCTAAGAATGTGTGGTTACTTTTTCGAGTTGCTTGGTTTTAGGTTACTTTTTAGTTTGTTGTAATTAACTCGATATTCCAACAATTTTTGATTGAAGTTATTATATCTTTCTATTAATGTATTGATTTGGTATTTAAATTATTTAATTCATTGAAATATAGTTATTTATAATTAACTGTATTAGAATTAACAAGTAAAAACCAAAGTTAAAACCCAAAATTTTGAGGTATACTTGTTCTACAAAATTTTTCTATTATTTGATTGAATTAAACATATATATTGGCAAAAAAATAGGAAATAAAGTTTTTATTTATTATTCTTTTGTGGATTATAAATTACACTGTTTAACAAAAAACTGTGTAGAAGAGTGATTGTTTCAATTTATTTTACCAAAACTACTGTTTTGCAATATATTAAAAGATCATTTCGAATAAGGAATAAATTTCTATTGTCAATTAATTAAATCAACTATTATTTAAAAAAAATAATTATTAAAAAAAATAAAACAACTTTATTGGACAAAATAATAATGTTACAACTTGATTATTTTAAATTAATTATAATAATAACTAATTTTATTTAAAGTTAAATAAACAATAACTTTCATTTTTTTACAAGTTTAATTTTTATTAATAATTTTATTTTTTTGTTAAAAACATTTTAATCAAAAAAGTTTTTTTAAAATATTGTAAATCCAATCAAAAAAATCTTATTGAAATGATATGGCATATTAAACTAGCAATGACTAAGATAAAAATAGATTTAATAACAGCATTTCCAAATACAATACACTTTCAAGCAGAAAGTTTATTATATTCATCGAGTAATGGTAAGTCGTTGTAATTAGCAGTAGATATCCCTTTCTCTTTCAGATATGAGAATATTCCCTTATACACATCAACTATTTTCTCAGTTTCTTCTTTCCGAGACTTCTGGTCTTTAAATCTAAAGTTCAAAATCGCATGAATTCCATCTTCTTCTAATATACCAAAAGCAGCCAAAGTATTTCCGATAGACAAAGAAGTTGCTTTGTCTTGGACAAACAGTTGTGTGAGTTCTTTCTTGAAAATAGAAAATCCTGGATACGTTTCGATAGCATCCTTTGGGCAGTCTTTTTGTGCATATTCAGCCCAGTACTTGTAGTATCGAATCGCAAATTCGGACCGTGCCTCGAAGTGCAAAAGCCAATATTGCTCGACGCAATAAATTGACTCACCAAAGCTTTTCGAACGGGAGTTCTTCGACGAGACAAAGTTGCCAAAACTTTCCCACTTTCTGAATGAAGGAAACTCCATCTTCACTTCTTCACGAAGAATTTCAACGGATTTTCTTGGACTTGTTGAGCCAAAAGTGTCTACCTTTTCTAATATCAGTTCATACATCCCGGGTATTCTCATGGTGAATTCAACAAGGATCTTCGCGACGATATCTGTGTATTCGCTGTTAAGTCCTTCAACGGAGCGGTAGAAAGAAAGAGTCTTTGTGTGTTCGACTTTAGGAATAGCTCCGATTGGTGGCGAGTATCTCTTCTTGTTTTGTTCGACAATATTTCGAATAGAGGAAGATCCGTTCAAGGCAAAGAGTAAGAAGAGAGTGGTCTTACAAGTGTTGTTAAAATAGATCTCAAGTATCTTTTCAGTAGTTGGGTCCATCTCGTCGGGGGCTGGAAAGTCTGCAAGAGCGATTGGTTGTATTTGCTTGATGTTGATGATCCTATGAATGAGTTTAAAGACGTCCAAAGTGTAAGTGTGGTGAGGTAATCTCAATATGAACTCGTTGGAGTTGGCCCAAAGTGATAACAAATCCAGTGTTATTTCAGGAGTAAGTTGAGCAGTTTGAATAAAGTCGGATTCGAACATTTGATCAACTTTAGAGAGTGATTCTTTCAACGCATCTTCTGGGTTGGTGAGCTTAAAAAAGCTCTTAGATTTTGTGGCCTTAATGCCATTCATTGCTTTGACAAGGCGCTTGACTTCCTTTTGGAATGTTTTGAGGGACTTCATTTGAATAAATGAGTTACGCAGTGTTTAAATAATGACATAGAAAATTGGAAAACACTATTTTTTTTCGAAACATTTTAGGAACAAAAAAAATTCCTAATAAAAATTTTAAAAAACGACGGTCAAAAAATTTTTGTTTTGGAAAAGTTGTGATAAGTCCCAGTTGATTCTATTTATTGTCTTCTTATATCAATTCGAAATTCGTTTGATTGTCGGGTTCAATTTCCTATCAGTAAAATAATGGTCACATGTCGATCATAATGCTTAAAACTTCATTTCTATTTTGGTTAATGTTAATCTGTATTTGGAAATATTAAAAATACAATTTCAAACAAAATTCAAAAGTCGTAAGTTGAACTTCTGTTGAAACTTGATTATTTAGTAAAACAGAAATAAATTTACAAGAAAGCCACGACCCCCAAAAAAATTTAAGATGCTTTTCAACCTTTTTGAGTTAAATTGTATATTTTTGTGTTTCTAATATATATTTTAAACATTTTTGTTTAATTATTTGAATTTATTGGTTCTTAACCCGAAAAATTTGAAGACCAAGTATAAAAAACAAGGTAAAGAATATCAAAGCAGGTTGTGCCTATAGAAGCCCAAAAACTCACAACAAATATGGATTTGACTACCCCGTATTTTTGAAACTTTCCAATTGAAAGTTCAATAATAATTCAAAACTTTCGGAACCTTTTTATTATTAGAATAATAAGTTTAGAAAGTCACGGTGTGAATAATGCTGAAATAAATTATTTTACTCTCAGATAAAAGTAATTTCTTTTATTTATAAAGTCAACATAACTATCTAATCGGGAATAAAAAAAAAATGACAATAGCGGCGCTTTGCCTACCATTTTTGTTGTATTTTTTTTCTTATTCCAGATCAAAAAGACAATAAATAGAATAATATTTGTAAATTGTAAAAAGACAAACATTAACTGGTGGTAATTTATCACTTTTTTAATTCAAAATTTAAAACTGAATAATATATAGTTGTGTTATTTATATTGAAATGCCTTGTTAATTCAAAAAAGTTAATAAAATTCCGCCATTGGATAATTATAAATTTTTTGAACAAACCTTTTTAATATTCTTTTTGTACTTCTTTTTTTTAAGGTGAAGAGGAAAAATAACAGCTTATTTAAAAGAAAGAAGTACAAAAAGAATATTTATCCCATTTTTTTTCTTGCCATGAATTGTGTTTTGCTCAAATAATCTTGTGAATTATAACCATTTATCTTGGGTTTTTTTAATTTTGTTTATTGGAAAAAGTAAGTTTGCCAAAACGCAGCAGGCAGAATTATTTATTACAAGATAACACAACACACAGACCAAATAACAACTTTAAACTTCAAATAAAAAATGGATTTTTCCCCAAAAATACTCAAATAATGTTTGTGTATCAATTAAAATAATTTATTGACTTTTTCTAAAGAAAAAAAGAAAAAGTAATGCAAAAATTGATATAATGTCCAATTTTTGAAATCAATAACAGGTTTCAATATACATTTTCGGGTTGTTGCGGAAAAAACACTGGAAATGCGGTGTTTTTTTCCAATTAAAAACAACCACTTTACCTATTATGCCACACTACTATATATCCCATAAAAAAGAAACAACGCGATGATAATTAAATAAAAAACGGGGATATCAGGTTAAATCTATCATTTCGGAGCCAAAAAACAGTACGATGCATTCATGTTTTTGAAACACCACAATTTCTATCCAAAATGTAATAATCCCGTTTTTTATTATATGAGATGCAATAATTACCCCATAGATTTTTTGTCCTATTATGAGTAAAAAATACTAATTAAAATAATTGTTCAAAAACATTTTTTGAAATGAATATCTAAAATGTTGTTATTTTTTTAAGCATTGTTAATTTGTCTATATAAAAACAAACTTAATATATACTATTTATTTAATTAAGAATATTATTTCTGATACTGTTAATTTTATGATTCTACATTTATAGTCACTAAAAAAACAAAAAAAATATGTTTTATAAAAACAATTTATTTGAATATAAACCAAACCATATAATTTAACTATTACTTAATTAATTCAATTTACTATTTCAAAAAAGTAGAAAGTTATAGTATTTTATAACATTTTAAACTATATATTGTTAATACTAAATCTTATTATTTTTGAACTAACATAGTTAAGTAATAACTTTTCTACACAAATAAGTTGAACATATCTTATAGTTCCACTCCTATTAAAATTAAAAACAAATTATGGCTCAATTAAAATTTGGCAATTCTCGCTCATTTTGAATATTTCCCCCGTGTTGACTGCTTTCAGTTGAATCGGGCCAAATGGGAAGAGTCCCGACTTGTTGGATAAGAATTCTACAGAAATCGATGATGTGCATGGGTTAGAGAATACACCAATATCGATCGTTGGGTGGAGACAATATACGGGCGACTGTATACTATCAACACTAGTTATCGACATTGTCAAATGTTTTTCTGTTGTACACTGATATATCAATTCAAATATAACACAGAAAACTCGGTGGCATCTTATTTTCTCGGGAACTAGATATGAGTGCTTATTACTTTGAATACTTTGAATAAGAACAAACATGAAATTCGCATAGTGATTGACTGATACTTCGGCATTTCCGACCTGAGCTCTCTGGATACATACAGTTCCCCCATCATTCCAGACATCGCATAAGTCAACGTGAGTCCAACTGAGATTCCAATGCCTTGGAAACTTGATATTGAATTTCTTCTCTTCGATTGAGGAACCAAGTCTTGATCGCTCAATTTGGTACACAACATTGAAGACCTCTTCCCCGCCTTATCTCCTCTGTCTTCTGGGATATCTGCAAATGGAGAAGTCTCTCCAGAGAATCTGTATTTGTTTTCAGGTTTAGTCGAGAATTTCCCAAAGATCTTTGAACTTCTTTTGATATCCATTGAGTTGCGCTCACTGTTAATCATCGGCGAAGGTGACTTATTGAAACTGACTTGTTTTGGTGGGGGTAAAGGCTTTGATGGAGGTTTTGCCTTCTTTGAGTCCGTTGCCAAATCTGTTGAGAAGAAGACGGGGATTCTGACGGGGATTACAAAGGTGTACATATCCTTTCCTTTCAATTCGCAAGGCAATTGGAGAAACGGTTTGTCTAAAGCGTATTGGCACGTCAACATGAGGTTTGATATTTTTATATCGTATTGGCACGTATTCTCAAGTGTAATGATGATAAACGACCCGGCTGAATTGCTCTTTGTCTTTGAAGTGATTTTGATTGGGTCGATCACGGTGATACCAACGGCAAATTGAATCAACGCGCCTTTTGGTTGTGACAAAGGGAGTAACGTGTCTCTGTAATTTTGATCTATTGGTGAGTTAATAACACACTTCAACACTAATTAGAGGAGAACACAAACACTTCTCTTCAACGTTAGAAAGATGAATGGTCGACCTCAAATAGAGTTCAACATCTAAGTCACTTTCACATACCCCAATGTTTTGAAATATTAAATAACAAAAAGAGAAGTCATCTAACACAAAGAACACGGGGTCGACAAATGGGGACCGCGTCGTTTGAGGCAATGACGCCAAAAAGTCCATCCAATTTTGTGAGAGTAACAAGTGTCTGTCATTTGTTAACACACTCTTGGTGTTCTCAAGAGAGCACTTTCTAGCTTTTTCTTCAGAAAGTGAGTTTGAGTGTTCGATATTATAGTCTTTGACTATTTCAAGTACTGGTGTGTTCGAACTGAATATTTCCATTTCTTTAATCTCTGTTAACGTTTTAACGTATACCAATACTACCACGTCCTCCCCTTGCACACATATTCTCCTCGATGGGGAGTCGGGTCGCGGGTCCAACAAATATTTGAACATGTCCTGCGGTGACGATGGTATAAAGATTTGTTGTGACACAATTTGCTTCCTGATTTGCTCTTCAGACATCACCTCTTTCGACTTTCTTTCTAAGTTTCTAATAAAAAGATAATAGTAAAATTTAGTAATAATAAAACTAAAGTGAAATAGTTTTATTTTTAGAGGTAACTTACTAATTAAGAAACTAAAAAAGAGATAAATGAAGAGTTACTCGGTGGCTGGGTTCAATTGGGGCAAATTAGAAGTCACACCAAATTCAGTCGATATGCTCCACGACGACCAATTAATCTTCCAGACAGACCCAAAGAAATTCACAAAAAGCTCATTGTCAAATAAGACCGAAGTCTCTGTTGAGTTTGACGACGCGGGGGATGGCGACGTCCTCACAGAAATCCGATTCTTCGCACCACAGACAGAACAACAAAACGAGAAAGACAACGCAACTGAATTGTACGACAAAGTCGCGGAAGTGACACCTTCAAACGCTTCTGGGAAGGAGGTCTGTTTGTTCGAAAACGTCGCGTTCTTATCGCCAAAAGGACATTACGACGTCAAAATATATGAAGATTCAGTTCGAGTACAAAACAACACTTTCGACTTCAAAATCAAATACACCGACATTCAGTTATATTACAAAATGCGTAAGGACAACGAGACGTCTTTCTTCGTGTTAAGTCTTTCCAACCCATTTAAGAAGGGAAAGAGTGTCTATGAATGCCTTATAATGGAATTGTCCACCACTGAAGAAATAGTTTGTTTTATAGTAAATTAATTATTTTAATATGGTAAATAAAAATGTGATGATAACCAACAGACTGCTGAGTTGAATTTGACAAAGGACTTTGAGAAGAAGACTGGTCTTGAGGCGTCTATGACAGACAACGAGCTGGACTTGTTTATTGAATTATTCAAAAGTCTGCACCCAACGACCATCACACCATCTGGGATGAAGTTTAAGACGGGTGACAGCCATTATATCAAATGCAATATGTCGACGAACGAAGGGTTTTTGTACCCGATGACCGACTGCTTTATTTTCTTATACAAACGAATTAAAATAGCACCGTTCAAGGAGATCAACAGCGTCGATATCTTACGAATGAATGCTGCGAATGACAATAAAACATTTGACTTGTTACTCGACCTTAAAGGGAGGAAAGGAACGTTGCAATTCAATGGAATGAGCCGAGAGGTGTACGACGACTTAGTTGAGTTTTTGAAGCAAAGTGGATTAAAACTGGAAGAGACCGCAAAAGGAGCAACAAAGGAGAATGCGAACGTCGAGGACAGTGGAGACAACGATGAGGAATACCACGCAGAAGAGGGAGAGTCGGGAGACGATGACTTGATGTCGGAGGAAAGCGGTGATGACGAGTAATTGAATGATAATTAGAACAACACAACAATTAAACCCTTCAAAAGAGTTATAATTTATAGTAAAAATAATTAAAAAGAACCATACTTATAATTTCGAAGAAATGCTTACCAAGAGCCAAGACGAAAAAATGACTACGGAAACTAAATAATACAAAAATGTCATACCGAGGAAGTAGCCCAGGGGAGTTCCGTGGGTATCGCGAACAACCACGGGATTACTCACCGGAGAGGAATTATGACTTTTCACCGACGAGTTACTCACCGAAGCCACGAGACCGTGAAACTGATCGAGATGTGTATTATAGAGACGAGTATCGACCGTACCAAATTTATCCGAAAGACAGGAGTGATAGACGAGAAGAACGTCGGGATGACTCGTATCGAACGTTTGATGAGGAGATGTATTCTCCACGAAATCGCTCTGAGAATAGGTTTCGAGACAGAAAGAGAGAAATGGACGAAGATGCGGAAAGGTACTTTGAACGGAATAAACGAAGCGAGTGGTTCAGAAAACAGTTTCACCCTATTGAACTCAGAGAAAGAAGGTTGTTGAAGCAGAAGAGTGTACAAGCGGCTTATGACCGATTCATGAAAAACATTGTCTTTCCCGACTACTCCGATGAAGGCTTGAAGTTGGAAGACCCATATGATGGGAAACGGATTATGGTGATATCAGACCAACTGACAACAAGCGAGAGAATGCGGGACATAGCGCCGTTGAAGGAAAATGTGGAGAAGGTAGTGATAAGCGACCCGAGGTATCGAAAGGTGAGTGTAGGGTTTGTGGTATATAACACGAAAGAAGCGGCGGATGAGGCAAAGAAAAAGCAAAGTGAAGTTGAGCGCAACCAACTCACTTCCGTGCGGTCGAAAGAGCCACAGCTCAGGTTTGCGCCAAAGGATTTTGGAGATAAAGAACGGCTCGATAAGGATTGCGCACAGTTGACACAACTTGTTGAGTTAATGGATCAAATCAATGGGGTCAAAGGGATTTCTGTGAATAAAGTGAGTCAATGGGACAAGTGGAGTACCCGAGAGAAGGTCGACGTGCAAATCACTTACTTACGGAAAGTGCATTCGTTGTGTTATTATTGCTTGATTGAGTATGCCGACGAAGAAGAGTTATATCGCAGATGCACAATGCATTTCAGAGAGTCTGAAAAAACAAAAGAGTCACATTTACCACCAAAGACTGTGCATTGGTTTAAGAACTTCGATAGCTACGAATACTCATTTTTCATCTCACTAAAGGAGGAAAATAAGTCACTTGCATTTGAAGCACAACAAAGAATTATTCAGAACGTGTTCAAAGACCAAGAGTGTGTGGTATGCAGAAAAAAGGTGGAGGACCAGGTCAAACACGCAGTCAAGTTCCACTCGAACAAAGTGTCACCGGCAGATATGGATGAGATCAACGACAGATTCCGAATCAACTTTTTGTCAGACCCCAAAAAGAAAGCACTCCCAAATTATTGATTGTATTGTCCAATGGTTTTTGTACTATAAAGTATGGTTTGGGTTGGGATAATATTTAACATTATTTATTTAATTAACGAGTTGTTCTTTTATGTGAATAAAATAAATAAAAAAATATTCCTCAATAATTGAAAAATATCGTTATAAAAATTAAAAAAATTACGTTAATTTCAAAAAAATGATTTATTATCAACTTGTTAGAAGTTAATTATTTATTATTATTAAAAATACATTAAATTGAATTTATAATTTATTAATTATAATAAATGATTAAAGTAGCAAAGGTATAACAAAGAAGTGATAAACATTTGTGAATTATTAAGCTGATTAAGCGGGAAATAACTAAAACATTGCGATATTCATCTCTATTATGTTTAGTAATAAAAATATTTTAAAAATTGTCCATCATTACAATTGAGGGATTAAGAAACTCAAAAAAATATTATGGAGTGGCGTGGGGTCTTGACGTACGAGTGCTCGCCGATTAAAAGAAAACAAGAGGAACCACTGATGCTAATAGGGAGATATATCAACTCGTTAGACCCATACGACATTAGCATTTTCTGTATTCGACTCCAACAGGGGATGATCCGGTTTGAAGACGTTGCCAAAGCGTCGTTTGACTTGTATTGTGAGAAAAAGGTATTACAAGGAAATGTTCTAAACGAACTCCTCTTTCTTTTTTACTCGAATTATCCTTTTCTTAACTCGTTCAAATCCTTTCTTCAACGCAATAGAAAAATATTTTACTTGACACAAGACGAATGGGTGTCACTTTTTGTGGAAAGGGAATATATACTTTCTTGTGGCGATGCATCAGACAAGCAAATGATGAACTGTTTGTTGTTCAATAACATGTGATTTGATTGATGAATGTAATAACACATAGGGCCACTCTTGTTTGAAGACTTCAAAACTGAGTGCATTCGACAAACCACAATGCAGTGTTTTTAATCAACTTTTCAATTACATTTTCTTTCGACCTCTGTGTACAGTTTTTATCACAGGATTGACTCATATCAATGGTTCATATAATTCGTCTCTTCTTTTGCGATTCTTTATAACTAAAAACAGAATATAACTTGTTACTGATAGAATACCCATTAACATAACTCCACCTAAACAACTGACAAATATTATATCTATCATCTCCATCCCTTCTACACTGCCATCTCCAGACTCAGACATCCATTTTATTCAGTTCTAAATCACTGATGTATTTTTAATATAATTCCTTTTCAAAATACTTGGAAAGATATACAATGGTAACATTTTGTAGAATTACATCGACAAACTATTCAGTATAGTTAATAATTAATATTCTAATAGTAAAATCGAACAGAAAATTAAAACAATAAACTAACTATATATAAATAATACATAATCAATAAACAAATTTCATCACAGAGTTGACCTTTGCGACAAAATCCTCTTCATATTTCTCTTGATCCTCCAACACTATTCGCGGCAATGCACTGAGAGGTAAATGCCCGTACTCAATACGTTCGACTCTCTTCCATGTTGGGTTATTGAGTGCGCTCCAATGTAACTGTTTTTGGATGGGGACAACACAGAGATGTTCTGGAAAGCTGCACATTTCCTTAGTTTTGTAATATGTCTCGGTTATTCGTGGAGGCTGAATCTTGTTTAGTTGCACTTCTTCCTCAATAAGTTTTGGAGTCTCAACGCGAGGAGGGATAATAGGAAACTCAACTCCGACTTTCTCTCTGTCGTGTAAAAATCTGTTTGGCTGGTGTACATATCTTTCTTGTTGTGGAATTGGACTGAAGTTCATTTCACATTTTGTAAACATAAATCCCTCCTCTTCATACTCAACAATATTTTTTACATAGTCTTGTGGGTAATATGTAAACAAATTCGCAATTTTTGGAATATCACTTTGACCATCGTTGTATTTATACGACGGTTCGATTTCCATTTTTGATATTTGGCGATTTGTTTCAATGGAAGTTGGTGGTTCTGGTGGTTGAATATTTGGAGTCATTCGGCTGTTTTCCACAACAGCTGTTTCCTCTTCCATTCTATTGACAACAACATCCATGTTGTGTTCTTCTCTACCTTCATGTTTTGGTGGTTCCACATTCACTATTGGAGTCTCCAATTCCATTTTTATCGGAACTTCAGTGACAACACTTTTTACATCTTTTACCTCGTTGCATTTATTGTGTTCTTCATCCATTTCCATCACATTGTGGACTTCCTCTTTTCCTATAGAAGGTAAAAGGTGTTGAATCTGTTTGATATTCTCGCTTTCCTCTGTTTTTGGACTTTCTACCTTCAGATGCTTCACCTGTTTGTCTTCATCTAAAATGTCCATTTTATTCGACGTCTCATTTTCAATAACAAAGTTTGCGCGTTCTTCGCCAAACGGAACCAGACTCAGTACGGTTTCTGTGACTTCGGTCTGTGGTTGGAAGGACTGGAACAAGTTGGTTGGTACATTTTTATCGTACTCACCAATTTGTGAGAATTGTGATATCTGCGATCGATCAAGTCTGTCGCTCCTTGTGTCTCCAAATGGTACCACACTCAACATGCTAGTGTCATCATCCTCCATTGTTTCCATTTTTTGTGTTTGGTTATGTATCGTTTCGGTTGGACCAAGCGCGTAAAGTGCTTGTTCGACATGTGGCAGTACAATCGAGTGTTGGGCTTCCAGTTCTCCAGCATTCAAACTGGGCAACAACTCCAAAATTGTACTTGCTTCAGGTGGTGACAGTTCATTCAAATCCCCCACATCTGTGATAGGCGCACAGTCATCTTCCTCCATTGCATTATTCTCATATATAAATCTGTTGTTTGGAAGAGGTAATGTTTTATTAATATTTTCGTCGACTTCCCATGGGTCTGGGTCGTCAAAGGACTCGTTATGAAAGAGGAAAATTCTCTCTCCAAGTTTAGTTCTCATGCTTGGTATAACAAATCCGTCCTCAGTCTTTTGTTGTTGTAAAGGAGGTTTATCATTCAAAATACTGGAGAGTCTCCCATACTTAATTTCAGTGGATTTCATTTTCAGTGGTCTTCTTGTGAATGTTTCGCGGGGTTTAGTTGGTGTTTTTGCGTTGTTGAAGACTTCTCTTGGTTTTGAAGGATGATACTTCTTCGTGTATTTTGACATGAAAATTTCCTTCTGTAATTCCGTTGGTGTTGTGTTAATAGTTTTCTTCGTTGCGACTTTTTTGATGTTTTTTCTTTTCTTAAGTGCTTGTTCGCTGAGTGTTTCTTGTGTCGCTTTGTGTTGTGCTTGCGACATGTCACACGTGTTTTTTATAGTTTTTTATAGTTTTCTCTTTTTAAAGTTTATCAAATTGAAAAGGTAGTATTACAAATAGTATTTCTAATTAATAAATAACACTTATTTATATTCACTCGACTATTACAAAAAGATATCAACATCCTTCCCTATCTTGTCTTTTAAATAATTAAATAATTGACTAAACGTTATATCGACTTGTGCGATGCCATTTTCTAAAAGTGAGCAGATGTACTGGTTAATGACTGCTCCTATGTACTCTACTTTACTGCGAGTTATTAGTAAAATGCCATTTTTGAAAACATTGAGTCTACCATCAATCCCTTCTCCCTCTTCTTTCTCAATTTCTACAAACACATTAAAGCTTAGAAGTAAGTCAGACATTAGATGGATGACTTCTTGCCGTTTCAACAGTTGGGTCCGTCTTAAAGCTGTTTTCTGCGAAATCCCTCGTGAGTTTTCTTGGACGGTCATTTCTTGACATCTTACACGAACAAACTTCTGAATGTCAAGAATGTCATTACCGAACCTGAGTTGTTTTATTTTAAGAAATTGGACCGTTTTAAAGCATTTTCTGTGTGGACGCCCAACAGTCATATCACAGTATTTAAGAAGAAACATGATCAAAACTGATTGCATTTTGGATTGAAGAGTCATCATCATTTGTTGTTTGTCTTTGTATTTAATCGGTTGGTCGTTGGTCTCAGAGTGTGGCTTATCGAAAAAGTCCGACATGTCTGCCATATGAAAAACCTAGTTTTGTATATTATTTGTCACTACCCATTTTTATCGCAATTCACTCTTAAACTTCCCATCTCCTCTTCGACGGTTTCTCTCTTCTTTGTAGAATAGTAGTCGTCATAACCGCTTTTTCTACTATTTTCTATCTCGTGCTATTCACACTCTTTTGGTTAAAACAATAGCTCGATGCCTCTGTGACTGGGCAAAGACTTGCTATACTAGTATTAATAATTACTTTTATTATTAATTATTGAAATTTAAGTATTCTGGTTTTAATTAATAAAATTAGTCTGCAATTGATTATAAGTGGGGGTTAGATCAATAAATGCCGTATAATACGCACATAACTTTTCTTTTAGAAGGCTTTTCCACTCTTCTTTATGTTTTTGTTTTAACTTGTCGTTTTTGAAACCGCAGAAAATGTCAACAGTTTAATCCTCCCGATTTATTATGATTCAGAACACCAGCATTCATCGCAAATAAAACTTTTATTTTCGTCAAAAAATGCCTGTCCTTATAAATCGAACAAATCCACATTTCGATAATTCATACTCGCAAAATGTAATTCAGAGCAGTTTAGGTTTTACCTTCAAAAAGTTTTGCTTTTTTTGTTTTATTATTTAATAGTTTATAATTCTAGTATAATAAAAGAAACTATTTTCTTAAAACAGTTGAAATGTGTTCATTGTAATAACAATTGTTCTCCAAATCTTTTGGTTTGCCAAAAAGGAATTAGTCTTTCAAAACCCTATAATTTGAGTCAAATTATAAACATTCATATAGTTTTGTTAACACGTCATCATTTTAAAAAATTATTAATAATTTATAATAATAAACAATAATTAATAAAATTTAATATGATAATACAGTAATTGATTTCCAAATTCCAAAAAAGGTTTTTTTGGTATTTATTTGTTTTTATTGTCATTTTGTTTATTTTTTAATTAAAAACATTTAGTATTTTAACACATCGTTGGATAATTATTGTGCAAATATTTGGGTTAAAAATTATTATGGAATTAAGATTTTGGTCACTTTCCTATTTATTTTCCTTTAATTATCTCTAAACCAGTGTATTTATTAAAAAATAGTTCATTATTCAAAAATATTTTTTTATTTATTCTTTTTTAATAAAAAAAATATCAATGACTTATTACTATTACTTTTATAGTAAACTCCTTGCAAATAGCAAATAGAAAAATCCACCAATTGTTTTTTTTTAATAATTAGAAGTAATTTTTGTGTGACTTATATTATGAAAAAACATTTTTTTGTTCAAAACAATTAAAAAACATTATTTATTCAATAGTTTAATAATTAATAAATACTATTATATCATTGATAAAAAAGAACTAAACAATTTAAAAATGTCATGTCGTACAACTTTATTGATCACGTCACAACACTTCAAGAAAACATTTTCCAATTTCTTTGTTATATTGACCCAACACAGGTTTCAAAATACAAAGCACTACTTTCGGACGTGCAAACTGAGTTAACAAATAGTGAAGTGGTCACTTTACAAACACCACAACTCGTGTTGATAAACTCTTTCCCAGACGATCCCGAACAAACCGCTCTTTGTAAAAGACAAGCAGTTACCCGCCTTTCGACTTTGCTTCGGCTATACAAAGACATCCAACTAAATTCAGAAACCCTCAAAACAGTCATCGTCAAAAAGCCTATTTTCATCATTGGACTTCCACGAACCGGTTCAACCACTTTATTCAACTTGATGAGCTCACATCCAAAAATGCATTATTATCATGCATGGCAAACTATGTGCCCTGGATTTTCGACTGTTTCAGAAGAGGCGCAGAGAAAGTTTACACTTCGATTAAAGTCGGTGATGTTAGGCGGGACTTCCGACTTTGAGAAAATTCATGCAATTGATATCGAGAAGAATGAGGAGTGTATGTTTCAGTATGACTGTTATGGAATCTCATATTCACACTTCTTCGCATTGCCGATGTACGCTGAATGGGCAGAGAAGTTTCTTACGACAGATTGGAAAAGCTTGATGGATTTCGAGTGGAACATATACAAACTCAATTTGTTGAGAAACCCTATTAAGGATGATCAATTCTTCTTAACCAAAAACGTCGCTTTATTGAGCGTTTTACCTGAATTACTGGAGTCGTGCGATGACGCTCGAATTGTGTGGATTCACAGAAACCCAAGTGACCAAGTTAAAAGCGCAATTCCTTTTTTCTCAGCAATACAAAACGCGTTTCTCTCAAAGAAGCAAAAAGATGTGCTTGACACAAAATGGCTTGAGAAAAATATTGTTGACCTTCAGAACAAAATTCTGCATCAAGCTGTCGACGCGAGAAATGAATGGGTTCAGAAACATGAAGAGAGGAAAAACCAATTTTACGATGTCAAATTTGACGACTTGATCCAAGACCCCATTGGAACAGTTGTCTCTTTATTCAACCAATTTGGAATTGAAACCACAGAGACTGACATTGAAATAATGAAGAGGTCAATTGAAAGTGATCCACAAGACAAGGTCGGAAGACTTACAACAAGTGGAGAGTCTTCTGATTTTGACAAAGACTCGATAGAGTCTACATTTGAGTGGTACAAAACCCTTTACTTATAATTAACTATATTATATTAATATGTATTATTATTTGTTAGTATTAATCTTGAAGAACACAAATGAGCAATATACTCATTTAAAGTTGCTGTTTCTCCTTGGAAACCTTAAGTTCGACAGTTCTGTTGAAGACAAGAGCTCCTTCTTTTGAGTCAGTGTCGGTGCAGAAGAACCCGACTCTTTCAAACTGATAAGAATCGCCAGGTTTTGTGTGTGCCAAGCTCTCATCGACATACCCATTGACTATAACAAGAGAGTCTTTGTTGATCAACTTCTCCCAATCATCTGTCTCTGGCTTTGGAACAGTGAACAAAGTGGAGTATAACCTCAACTCGGCAACAATTGGGGTGGAACAGTTAACACCAGAAGAGACCCACTGGATATGTCCCTTTGGCTTTTCCTTTTTATCGATATCAAATCTGCAGTACAAGCAAGTGACCTTTCCTGTTTCATCTTTGTCATATTTCTCACAGCAAATATTTCCGGAGTATCTGAGACCAACAACCTTGTTTGGTGCAAGACCCCAGAACCCTCTTTTGTCTTCTTCTTTGAAGTCATTTCTGTCAACGTAAATCACCTTTCTCAAATGGACTGTATTTGTACCCATCTCCTCAGTTATTGGGTGATTTGGTCTGACCACTTCAATGCAATAATCGTCTGGAACGTTCGTCAAAACAACTTTAAGAGGATCTGGTACACACATTGCTCTCTTGCATCTGATTTCCATATCATCTCTGCAATGTTGTTCAAGGACTTCATAGTCGATGTATACGGTTGTGTTTGTTGTAACCCCAACAGCTCTGCAGAAGTTGTTGATAGCGTTTGCAGAATATCCTTTGCGCTTGAAGCCCATGATAGTTGGCATTCTTGGGTCATCCCAACCTCTCACATACTTCTTCGTGACCAACGCAAGTAATTTTCTCTTTGACATGACAGTGTAAGTGATGTTCAGTCTGTTGAACTCCCAGACGACTGGTTTGTACATGTCAAGTGCGTCTAACAACCAGAAGTAACTCTCCCGTCTTGGTAAGAATTCTAAAGTGCACATTGAGTGTGTGATGTCTTCAAATGAGTCGACTAAGCAATGAACAAAATCATAAGATGGGTAACAGCACAGCTTGTCTCCAGTGACTGGATGTGGGAAGTACTTAATTCTGTATGCAACCAAATCCCACATGCACGGATTGGGAGATGTGATGTCCATTTTCATTCGAAGAGTTGCTTCGCCCTCGGCGTATCGTCCTTGGCACATCCACTTGAACAGTTTCAAATTCTCCTCGACACTTCTGTTTCTCCATGGCGATGGCTCTTGCTTCTCTCGAGACGCGGAAATCTGCTCGGCAGTTTGGTGGCAGACATATGCTTTTCCTCTCTTAATCAATTCAATAGCACAGTCGTAGATTCTATCAAAGTACTGAGAGGAATAAGTCACAGCACATGGGGTATGTCCAAGCCATTTCACTGTTTCTTCAATCGTCGAAATGAATTCGTGTGTTTCTTTCTCGGGATTGGTATCATCAAATCTCATGTAACACTTACCACCAGTCTTCTCGGCATATCCAAAATTGAGGAACATGGACTTGGCGTGTCCGATATGCAAATATCCATTAGGCTCTGGTGGGAATCTGGTGACAAAGATGCCGCCAGTTCTCTTCAAGTGTTCCGCCAAAATCTCTGGAGTCTTCTGTTTGTTATCTTGTGGGAGTGAAAGTTTCACACCAGAGTCGACATTCTTTTGCTTTGGAATACCAGTCTTCTTCTCTTCTTTGTCCTCCTTTTTCTCGTCTTTCTTGGGGTCAGATTTCTTCTGTGCTTTCTTCTTGCTGTCTTCTTTGGTCTTCTCTCCCAAAAGTTCTTTGAGTTGTTTGGTTAACTCTTCATTCAGTAATTTGCCATCAGCCCACTTCACCGTGTCTTTCGCTTCTTTGATTAATTGGTTCTCGATGGTATATCTTTTCTCAATAAGTTCGGCTTTTTTGGACTCAATAAGGCGCTTAACACCAGCAGCTATTTGCTCTTTAGTAACAACAACTCCAACGCCACATTCAGAGATGATTGTTTCAGTTGTAAGGTCGGTGTGTTTGTTGACGTAAGTGATCAAAGCGTCGATGTTGTTATTGGTCACTTTCTTCTCGAGAATCCACTGGATAATCTGTGGACGGAAAGAAACTTTGTCCTTCAAGAGCTTTGTGGCAAGTTGATAGAAGAGCATTCCAATCGACTTGTCGCATCCGCCCTCACACTTTGCCTCTTTGATAATTTCCAAAAGGGTTGTTGTGACTTGAGTGTTTTTGACTGTTTCTTTGGCCTTTGCTTCCGCAATGCCGATCTTGACAAATTGTGCAACAGCTCCTTCCATTTGCTTTCTTTGTTTTTGGTGCCCTTTTCGTAGGGTTACTTTCCATTTGCGATTTTCATTTTTGGGTATCTGGTATTATCTTTAGCATAATACATCATTATGTGTAGTATGTGGCATTCTATTTTTGTTTAACTATAAATGTTTAATTAAATGTTACACTCAAATTTGATTTTTTTCTATAAAGTTTATTAATGCTTTTGTAAAACAATTAACACTTATATTGCTTTTTTTTTCTTGTCTGATTTTTGTTTGAAATTATTGTTTTTTTTTCTTTAAAACATTTATTGAATTATACTATTTAGTAATTATTATTTTTCTTAATTACAATCATTATGTAATTGAATTATTGAATGACTGATTCTTGTGGGTATTGTAAATACAATATATTAATAACAAATATATTAATGATATAAATTCATTTATTTAAATTATTAATTTAAATAAATTTACTATGTATTTAAAGTAATGAATCAACTATAAAATATAAGTTTATTAGAGATTAACCTCAAATAAATTCATCATTTTTAATTCGAAAAAAAGAACTCCAAAAAAAGAAAATTCAATATAAGAACAATGAATGTGAAACAAGCTGTACTTTTTGTATTATTAGCAATTGCCGCTTTAACTTCACTCGCTACAGGTTACTTATTCGGGATAGTCATTGGTGTTTCAACGTTTTTGTCCTTCGGTATATCCATCGGGATTTTATATCCTTTTTGTTCGACGTTTCTGAACAACGTCATTAACCCACGACCTCCTCGCCACCACACTCCAAGGACTGTGAATAATTAATTCATTAATTCTATGCAATTAAATGCCACTTCTTAAATAAACCTCATTAATTCTTCATAAATAAAACTCACAAATTAAAACACTTTCGATAACTTATTCCCATTTATCCATCTTGTCCAAACTGTTCTGCCCAATCTTTATGTTTATCAACATCGTCCATTGAGACACTTGATCGGGAGTTTCTGATCGATTTCAAGAAGTCCATCATCGTGACAGGAGGCACAATCAATTTGCTGCCTTCCACTTGCTTCCAGTTCATTTCAATCGCTCCAAAATCACCTGGACTGCATGGCGTGATTAAATCGTTTCGCATCTCTCCTGTTATTGGCGACTTTCCAGTGATGTATTTGAAATGGGTAGCAGCTTGTAACGTTCTTACTGGTTGGTAAATAGCGTCTTTACACAAAATGGCTATATCACTCCCCGAATACAACTTTGTCTCTTCTCCAAGTTTTTTGAAGTCTTGATCCGTCAATGAATTGGGTAACTTCCCCAAGTTCCATTTAATCATTTTCGATCGTGCAGGAGCTTCTGGGAGTCCAATGTAAATTCTCTTCTCAAACCGTCTTCGAATAGCAGTGTCCAGCATCCATGGGATATTTGTCGCTCCCAACATCAACACACCTTCCATCGAATTTCCAACACCATTCATTTGAATAAGAAACTCGGTTTTCACTCTTCTGCTCGCCTCAGTCTCCCCATCACCACGTGAACTACACAAAGAGTCGACTTCATCAACAAAGATGATACTTGGTTTATTCCTTCGTGCCGTTTCAAACAACTCTCTCACCATTTTCTCGGACTCACCAAGGTATTTACTCAACAATGAGGACGCTGAAACAGAATAAAACGTCGAGTCTGCCTCGGTCGCTACAGCCTTCGCCAAAAACGACTTACCAGTACCAGGTGGCCCAAACAATAAAATGCCAGTCCATGGCTTTCTTTTGTCTGTGAACAGTTGGGGGAATTTAATTGGTAGTATGACCGCTTCCTGTAAAGCCTCTTTGGCCTTTTCTAACCCAATGACATCGTCCCAATGAACGTTAGGTTTATCCTTTAATACAGAGCCACTGACCGCATCCGCACGGCCTTGATCCTCAGAAGCCTTGTCTTTATCGGGATCGTCAGACTTCACTTTCTCACCATTTTGAACACGTTTCAGATACTCGGCACGTTCGACGTACTCTTTAATGCGTTGATTCATAACGTTCAAAAGCTTCTCGTTGTGTTCCGTCTTCTTGTGCGCTACCAAACAATCGATAGCCTTCTTATAATTCTCAACGGCCTCCTTATTATGCCCCTTGTCATCCTCCTCAGTCGCTTTTTTCGAAAACTCCTTTGCTTTGTCCAACAAACTCATCGATTCCTTTTTTTAGTTTTACTTATTATAAGATGAGAGAATCTGTTTGTCATCATAAACGAGTTTGTATTTATTATTCCTCATTACTGTTTTTTCAAGTCGGGAATAATTTTGTTATTTAAAATGTTTTTAATAACAATAAAATAAAAATTTTTTTTAATAACATTTTTATTATTCTTATTTTAAAATAATTATAATTATTTATTAATATATTTAATTATTAAAAACAAATGTTTATAATAAGGTTAAAAACCCCTAATAACATGGGAATTGGCATATTTGTTAATTTAAAACAATCTCAAAACAATCAGCTATAAAACCTCAATGACGTGTTGAGGAAAAAAGAGAATTCCTCGATCTATGAAAAAGTAATGACAGAAATCCTCCCAAGTAATTTTGTACCGAAACACTACGAGCTTTACATCAAGCCTGTCCCTAAAGAAAATAAAGTCATTGGAAAAACAACGATTGACATCACTTGTGTTGAAGAGACGAACCAACTCATCCTTAATGGCGTAAAATTTTCGAACGTGGTTGCGACAGTCAAAGAGACATCGGAATCACTTGAGTATTCTTTCGATGCTGAAAAGGAGCAAATCATATTCACTTCAAAGTTGAATTTCACAAAAGGAGAGTATACAGTCGTGATTGATTACGAGGGAGTTCTTTCAAGCGAAGAGTTGTGTGGGTTGTATCAGTCCAAGTATAAGTATCAAGGAGAAGAAAAGATTATATGCACAACGCAGTTTGAACCATCTGCTGCAAGAAATGCTTTCCCTTGCTTCGACGAACCAAATTACAAAGCCACTTTTGATGTCATTTTGGAGGTTCCGAAAGTCGAGAACTGCTTTTCAAATATGCCAATTAAGTCGACAAAAGAACACGAAAACATGAAGGTGGTTTCATTTGAAACAACGCCGAAAATGTCTACTTACATCGTCGCATTTGTCAGTGGTGAGTTCACAAGTTACACCAAGACTGGGAAAAACGGCGTTGAATTGGGTCTCCACTTTGCTAAAAACCACCAGAATATCACAAGATTTGCTCTTGATGTTATGGACGACTGCTTGGCGTTGTATGAACAACGGTTCAAAATCAAATACCCATTGAAGAAGTGTGATTGGATCGCTCTTCCAGACTTTGAAGCTGGTGCAATGGAAAATTGGGGAATTATTACGTCTCGTGAGACGGAGGTATGTCTTAAAGAAAATGCATCGACCGCAGCCAAAAAGCGATCTGCAAGTGTAGTGTGCCACGAGCTTGCTCACATGTGGTTTGGTGATTTGGTGACAATGAAATGGTGGAATGATTTATGGTTGAACGAAGGCTTTGCGAGCTATATGGGCGACTTGTTTGGAGTCAACACACTCTTCCCAGAATGGAACATGGAATCTTCTAATGTTGTAGAGTCATTACTACCAGCAATGAATTCTGATGAGAACGTGAATACACACCCAATTAGTGGTCCAGTGAAAAAAGCGAGTGATATTGAACAACTGTTCGATTTAATTAGTTACGAAAAAGGATGTGGGTTAATTAACATGATGATCAACTATGTTGGATTCGACAATTTCATGAACGGCATTTCGGTTTATTTGAAAAAATTTGAATACGGAAATGCGGAGAGCGACGATATGTGGAAGTGTGTTGGAGATTATTGTGGCATTGATTTGAAAGAGGTTGTCCAAGCGTGGACGTATAAACCAGGTTTTCCTGTTGTCAGTCTTGAGTTGAAAGACGGTAAGCTGTATTTGGAACAAGAGAGATGTGGATCACAGAGCGAACAAATATGGCAAATTCCAATGATACTGTCTTGTGATGGAAATGAAGTTAAATACATGTTTAAGGAAAAGAAAGCTGTCATTGAATGGCCACATAAGTATGTTATTGCAAACACCAAATCGACTGGATTTTACCGAGTTAAATACTCGGACGAAATGTTGGAAGTACTTCAAAAAACCAAAATTGGGAAAGTTGAGTTGATGTGTGTCTTTGATGATTTGTATACACTTGGGAAATTGGGTGTAATATCTTCATTACATTACCTCAAATTCTTGAAAGAGTTGGAACCAATCACTGTCGAGACCTATCAACTTTCAAGAGTGCTTGTTGGGCACTTTTACGAACTGAAAAACGTTTTTAGGGAGACTAAAGTGAAACAATTTGTCGAAGAGCAAACCGAGAGGCTTCTTGCTCCTGCTCTTGAAAAGTTGGGAATGGGAGTCATCAAAGGAGAACCATTTGATGCTTCTTCGTTGAGATCCTCGTGTTTGATCCATTTAAAACGAGATGACATTATTAAAAAGGCATGTGAAGTTGTCATGAATAACGAAGTTGGCAAACTGTCTGGTGAGTTAGTGTCGCCAACGTGTTTAAACGCAGGCAAATATGGAGATGAAAACGTGTTCAACAAATTGAGTGAGATGTATACAAACGCCGAGACTGTTGAAATTCAGAGAATCGCATTGAAAGGAATGGCGTCGACCCAAAATGAAGAGTTGGTCAAAAAGGCATTGCAATTTACTGAGACTGGTGTCAGAAAACAAGACGTTGGGTTTGTTTATGCCATTATGTTTATTGGTGAAAGTGAATTGGTCACAGAATACATTGTGAGTCATATCAAAGAGATCAATGAGAAGTATGGAGGAGGCATGTCGTCCATTAGAAAGTGGATATTAGAGTATATGATGGAGAGGTATTCATCAAAGGAGCGTCTTGCTTTCTTTACCAAGTTCTTTGAAGAGAACAAGTGTGTTGGAGCGGAGAGTTGTATCAAACAAGGTCTTGAAGGCATAGCTAAGAGAGCAGCTTGGATCGAACGAGACTTAGGAAGTATGCTCAAATTCATTGAGTAATCTTATTAACACAGTTTTAGTTTAATTAAACTATAATTAACACCTCTAGATTAATTAATAAGAATGATATGAAAAACTATTAATACTTATTAAAAAAGAACAAGAAAACCATAATGAGTTCTGAAGTGTCTGTTGATTCAAAGTCAGTTTCTCAAGCAGGAAATGTGTTTGAGGAAGTTATGGGCGATCTCTCGAAATTGGACAAAAGCAAAACACATGAAATTGCTTCCAAAGAAAAATTAATGACAAAACTCTTCGACGAACTGAAAACAACAAAAAGTGACGACTTTGGGAAAAAGTTATTTGAACTCGTACAAAACAGCGAGGCGCAAGAAGTTACACGACTCTTCATACCGATACTTGTATATCGATATTTATGTTCGCCAACACCATATATAATGGCTGCCACTCTCGAAATATACAATTCAGTCATTAAACAAACAACAACTCAAATATTCAATTATCCATTCATGTCAAACCCTTCTGTGTTTTATAAACCAGTTGCGAACAAGTCAGTAGGAAGACTTACAAAGCAAAGTCTGAGTGTATTAGAAGTGTTTGTTATTTTATTTTTTTCATATAAAAACGTATGGGATGGTTGTAATGAATAGTGTCAAGAAGCAAGATACACTGAGAGCAAAGTCTAAAGCACATGCCTCTCTTGTGTTGAGTGTTGAAGAAATTGATGCTATGCTTGCACTTTTAATTAGAGACTTTTCACAAGTGCTTGTGGGGTGCAAAGGCTTTGTTGTTGAGAACTATTTTTCGTCGATCAAAGAGTTACTTGGATATATGAAAAAGCACCAGTCACCACTCCCAAATTATTTAAGTGTCGAAATTGCAATGTCACTCTCTTATCTGGTCGATGTCACAAACACTTCCATTCAAGACATCGTCGAAGAAACTTCAACATTTGCAGAAGAGTTCTTCAACTTCCCTATGCTCCTCATTTTGACGCAATTTAAAGAGTTCTTAACCGTTTTTAAAGCGCAGTCTTGACTTTTTGTTCTATTCTTGTTTCGACCTTTTTATTCATAACCTAACAAATTGATTCATAATTAATACCCATACAAGTCATTCAACTTCGTCTTACCATCCCCTGTTTGCCCTTCTTTGATAGTCACATCTTTGAAGTCCGCCTGTTGTTTTGTTATTGGTACAGATGTGTCAGTTGGTTCTCTTTTTAAAGGAACTATGTCATGTGCTGCTTTCTTCAATTCAATTTTTTTAGTGATAAGTTCATCGACGTCTTTTTGTGAAGTGCCTTCTGGTATCGCCTTATTTAGTTTCAAGGTAAGGTCTTTTAACTCCCTTTCAAGTTGTTCGACGCTTTTTTCATGTTGAAGTTTTTCATTGTTTTCTAGCATAAATTGGTCGAGCTCATCAAGATCCTCCTCCATATTTTTTGGCTTTTGTCGCATTGTGTATATTTCAAAGCGGATTTCTACAATTGTGTTGAGTAGGTTTTGGTAAGTCATACCCTTTGTATTATTCAATTTTGTTTGGTTGTAATACTCATCATCATCACTCTCAATGTAATTGCCTTCTTTTCTAAGATTCTTCTCTTCCTCTGCAAAGTAATTTTCTTGGATTTCATCGCCAGACCCACTTGATTTATTGTCCTCTGACATTCAATATATGAAAATTGCTTTTTAGATTATTCTTTTGAATTGTTGTGTGGTATAAAAAAGACCAATTTGCTTCATATAACGAAATATCAATGGCTTGTTTTACTATAATATATTCTATTGTGAAGTAAAAAACTTAATGAAACTAAACTTATACTATTAAATATATTATAACAAACTATACTGAAATGCTTCCAATGCATACCCACTACACAACAGACTCAAGTAATTAAACCAGAAAGAACTAAAAAACATAAGATGCAAAGCAGAGCAGACAAGCAAAAAATCAGTCGTATTCTGGACCATGTTGATATCAATCAACTGAAAGTTTTGATTGATGAAGCTGGTGTTGTTGTTTTGCAAATTAAGAACTATGGGACACTTAACATTGGCAACGATTTTGAGGACACACTTTCCGAGTCTTCTTCTTATAGTAGTTCAGAGAGTGCAACGTCTTCTTCTTGTACGTCCTCTTCCGAGTGTTCGAGTGACGAAGAGGAGAAAGAAGAGAAAAGAGTTGGATCAACAAATAAAGAGCCAAAGGAAACACAAAAAGAAACACCAAAGGAAACAAGTCTTCCCAAGACAGAAACAGTTGAAAATAATACTAAAAGGCCGTCTCCAAAAGAATTTGAGAGTGATGAAGACATCGAGAAAATCCGCCAAAAAGACTTGGAAGAGGCAAAACAAGCGATGATAGAAGAAAGAAAGAGGAAAGCTGTCCAAGATGAGCTGAATAAAAAGAAGGCTGAGATGCACACGAAAGCCAACTTGAAAGTTGAAGACGTTGATGATGAAGATGAATATGTTCCAGTTGGTAAATTGAAAACAAAAGAAGACGAAGAGAAAGCTGCAGAGTACGTCGCACGATCAAAGAAGATTCAAAATCGAACGAACGATGTTGTCATTGACAAGGAACTAGCAATGGGATATCTCTATGTCAACAATAACAAATTGACTGAGGCCGTGGAGTACTTCACGACGTTTTTGAGCAAATATCCCAATGTTGTTGGTGGGTTGTTGGGGAGAGGTTCGGCATATGCCATGTTAGCTCGATTCCAAGAAGCTATTGTGGACTTCACACAAGCGATTAAGATCGACCCAACATGTGGGGATTCATACAAAAGAAGAGGACAGACCCTTGCTGCAACTGGGAATTTGGAAAGAGCACTCCATGACTTCAATAAAGCAATTGAGTTGTGCAAAGAGACTGATGCGGACTGTTATTCACAGAGAGGATCACTCTTCCAGCAATACAAAAATTATGAACTTGCTAAAGACGACTTTAAAAAGTCGTTAAAACTTAATGCGTCAGACGCATCTGCGTGGAATCACCTTGGACTGAATAACAACGCACTTGGTCTTATTGATGAGGCTGCGGATGCGTATGTCCGTGCGTTACAAATCAACGACAAATATGTCGAGTGTTATGTCAACTTGGCACAACTTCAAAAAGACGCAGGACAATTCCAGAAGTCAAAGGACATTTTTATGAAGCTCTTCAGAATGTGCCCAACACATTCTTATGCCCATTACGTGTGTGGTGTCTTGTACCAACAGAATGGAATGCACACTGCTGCTGTGAACGAGTTCAAAGCAGCACTCGACAATCGCACAGACCCACAGTACGGCCTAGAGAAGGACAAAGAGAAGTTGCTTGAGTGTTGGAGATATAGCGGAGTCACCAAAACTGCTTGTGGATTTTATCGAAGCGCAGTCACCGACTATAACACTGCTTTGGGTATGGAGAGTGCAGACGTTTCTTGGTATATGAAAGAAGTGTCTTTGTATTCCCATCATCTTTTGGACAAACCTTTGAAAGAATGGGACTTGGAATCTTTCCTACCCTCATTCAAAGAAGGATTCTGCAAAAAATTGATTCCAGCCGCTTTGATCCAATACGTCGAGCAGAATCCATTTGACTCGAAAATCCTCGATGTTGACGAGAAGAGTGTTCCAAATCAAAAGCTTATAGAAAGTGTATTAGAACCAGCTATGTCTATTGGCAATTACATCAAGTATGACAGTCAGGGTTTTGTCGGCAATAAGCGACAGTTCATGATGGCGGGTTTAGCTGCGATTGAAATGGGGCAATATATCAGAGACAAGCTTCCAGAATGGGTGTTTGGTGGACTCACTGTAGAACAAGCACAAAGGTATCTTGACAAAATCAAGTGGAGAGATTTACTGAATATTCCAGTGAAGTGGAGGCAATTGAGTGAACCGAATGACCAAGTGTATTGGATCGACTTGTTGACTAACGAACAGTTTGAAGAAGGTTTTGGGTCACACACTGCAATGTTTATTGGACAGACTCGTGTGGTTCGTTATTACTGTCAGTTTGAAAGAGCTTTTAAAATGGTTAAGCAGTTACTTCCTGGCCAAATTAGTATGAAAGATGATATGGCTGAGAAGGTGAGAAATGCTAAAGATATGAAGGAGATTCTTGACTTACTCAAAAGCGATTTCCAAGTGACAACGCCATGCAAGTCAGCCAATTTTGATGATCCAAATCATCCTGGACAAAAGGTCAGATATGATGGGACGTATTTGATTGTTGAAAGAAAGGAACCCGGCTATGAGTTCGCTATTAAAACACCATGCACATTGAAGAGATGGAAGTTGTATGATAAGGAACTCGAAGCTTGTTGGAGGCAAATAGTGTTGCTTGCACTCACACGAAAAGGAAAGGATTATGAAATTGAACCATTAATGAAGGCCGTCACTACATTTTTATTCTACTGGTATAACTTCATGCCTTTGAGTAGAGGTACTGCAGTAACTGGATTTGTGTTCTTACTTGGGATGTTTGCATCGTTTGGACTAAAACTTAACAAACACATTCCAAAGGGGTTACAGACAGACTGGGAAGCAATTCTTTGTGAAGACCCAGAAAAGTTTAACGAGATCATGTTCCAATGGATGGACGAGGAATTTGTGAAGTTTGATATTGATTCGATACCTGAGATCCCAAAGGCCATCCCAACGCTGAGAAGTGCACTGGAATGTTTGAATTATTGCAACAACGTAAAGTACTAAACATCAACAAGAACCTTTAATTTCACTTGTCGAGTATGGTTTTTACTTATTATAGCATAATTTACAATAGATTTTTATTTTACTAAAATTGACACGTGTAAATCATACAATTATTTTGAAGCTTAAAATTGGTTTAAAATTTTACTATACTTATAGTATTTGTATGATAAAACAATTTTTTTAGAGTAAAAACATTTGCATTTTTTATCAAAAACAACAAATTTTCAATCCCGTTATAATTGCGAGTGTACCGCCGATATGATCCAAATCAAGCTCAAAATAGAAAGGGTTCTGTGAAAGAAAAAAATGGAGACTTCGATTTGGTCAAATTTAAAAGTGTTAATGCACTAATGGTGCACAGCTGTCTTCTCATCTTTTCGTCGAACAAAAAAGATGTGAATAAAGGTGCATTGTGCACCTTTATTCACATCTTGAAAAGAACGAGCGAATTGGAATAAAGAGTCCGCCCCCAAAATAGGGGTGGGTATAAAAGCGTCGGGAACTGGGTCTTTTACAACGCACTATGGCAACTGCTGAACGCATGGAACTGCTTCGTTCCCGAAAAAGAATGAGCCGAAATGATGAGACACTTGTTACGGATGCAATGGTCTTTCTTCTTGCTTGTGAAGGATATAAATTGACAATCAAAAAGACCAAGAAAACAACAAAGACTGCAAAAATGCTACTTCCAGAAAGTATCACAAGACAAGCACAAATCACACCATCAGACATCCAAACACTGTCAGACACACTCCTCACATCAATTGGATACACACCACTCAACAAGAATGTTGTCGACACAATGACACAAAAACAAGCAAAAAGAACAAGAGAAGCACAACTCAACAATGGCATGCTTGCTCTTCTTGTCAACGAGGGTTATTCCTTTGTCGAGAAAAAGGTCAAAAGAGCACATCTCACTGAAAGACTCATCAGAATACAATCTATCTCAAAGCAAAATACAACCTACGACAAACAAGCACTCATCAAACTCGGCGAAGAAATCATCACTATCGTCGACAAATCAAATGAACACCTCACTACTATCACTGCCGAATCACTCATCACTTTCAACAACTCTCCACTCATCACACCGTCAAACACTCTCTGCAACTCACTTGCACCAGAGACTACATCAGTCACACCTGAAACATCTTCTCCTGACCAAACAAAGCAAGAAGAACAATACTTATACTACTCACAAAATCAACTACCGTGTTACCAATACACACAATACCAACAATACCAACAATACTACTACATCGACCCTCTATCCGGTCAATACACTTTCTTCTGCTTGTAATTTATTTGTTTCTTTGTACACTTTTATTTTTCATTCATTTTTAAAACTATAAAATTCTCAAATAATTTGTTGTATGATGAAATTTAATGTGTTGTTTCGAAATAAAAATATCTTTTATATTACGAAATTACATATTATAATACATAAGTATTCAATAATAATAAACATTGTTGATTAAGCTACGTCCAAACAAATCAATTAAATGCTCCATCAAATCCAGTAAAACCAGCAAGTTGGAATATTGGGTAGTACTCTTTCTTGTCAAGCGATGAGCACCAGTTCCAAGCTGAAGTGAGTCTTCCATCAATGCAACTTCCGGCGTCATAGAAGTTGTCTGCTCCACTTCCATCAAAAGCGTGTTTAAAGAAGTCTGTGAGGATAATTAATCGAAGTTCTTCATATGATTTGAACGTTTTGATGACATAGTTTTTGACGTATTCATTCTTTTCAGAGTACTTCTCGAGATTTTGGAGTGTAGTAACAATTGGTCCAAGGAATCTCGAAATCTGTGTGTATTTGTCAATAAACACCAAAGCGTTTGGTACGTTGTGGTCGCCCAAATGAATTTGTGTCGACCCAACCCAGTCGCCGACTTTTGTCTTCATCTCATTCACAATTTTGTGCATCACAAGTGATATTCTTGGTGATTGTTGCATTCTATGGAAGCCTTGTCCTGTGTTTTGCATTTCGTATGGATGTTCTGGGTCGAACAAATCGAGTTCTGCGAGTATCCACAATTGGTACATGTTCTCTAAGATGATGTTCCACAACACAAGAGTTTGTTTGACAAAGCTAAATTGTTTAGCGTGATCGTGTGAGAGTCTTGACCCCTCTGCTCCTTCATTGATAGCAAGTGAAAATCGGTCTTCTCTTGGTGTTTTTGGGTCAAAGTATTTTTCTAAGTACTCCAAAGTCTTGACAACAGGGTCTCTGTTGAATCTCAAATACGAGTTATTGTCTGCAATCGAATACAAGCACTGTTTCAACTCATCTTCTCCGCATTCTTTGTTACTATATTGGTGCGCCAACTTTTCAATCGCATTTTCTTTGTTTTTGATGTCTTGTCGTATCTGCTCTCTTGTTTTGTTGTCGGGCAATATTTCACCAGTAGCAACTGTGATCAGGTCATCGTCTAACACAGCAAGACAATTCGTTCTTTCTAGGTATCGGTACACCGTCTCGACTGGTCGTAACAATGAAACGCCCAACTCTTCATTTATAGAATTCACGGTGATGTCTTGTACAACAAAAATGAGTTTTGCGTAGTCGTCTCGCATCTTGTCGGGATTCATAATTTTGTACCTCCTTCCAATTTCAAAGATCGCTTGTAGAAAGTCCTCATTCTGACTGAAAGTATTTAGAACGTCTGAAAAGTCGCTTTTCTTACTTGGTTGTGTCGCTACCAAAAGTCCATTTAACAGTGAGGCAATCCCTTTTAACTGTTCTTGGAGTCGCGCCGGTTTCCCAATAAGTCTGACTTGATCGACTTTGTCACTATATTTTGATACGTGTAAAGTTGCTTCTAATAGTCTTAAAAGCTTCCGTTCTGCTTGAGTAATTCTTAATGGGATGAATCGAGCTCGCTCGCGAATATTTACTGGGAATCTATACAATTCCTCATTGGCTAGACTTGTGTCCGTTTGCTTTTCACTTTCGACTCCACCCAACGAGAAAAATGTAGCAAAATTCTTTTTAAATCCTTTGCTTGTTGGTTTGGATTTGAATTCATGTGTTTCAAACTGTTTGTTACTCTCATGTAAAATATATAAACTTTTCTATAAACAAGAAGAACCAAACCAAATCGTCGCCACCATCTTCATCATCTACACTCTTCAATTCCACTCTTGGCTTCGCTTTCTCAGCTTCGTCTTTCTTCATTTGTTCATCAATTTGTCTTGTTGTCTCTTCATCTACTATTTTAATGTCGGCTCCATTGTCTTCTTCCATTTTGCTCTCGTCTTGTTCTTCTTTTTCCTCTTTTGGAGGTTCTTCATTTGGTTTCTCTTCTTCCATCATCGTCACCTTGTTCTCCTCTAATTGTGGATTTTGCTCTTCTTCCATAGATACTGTTTGGTTATGTTGTTCTTCTTGAGGGTCGGTGATGTTTGAAGATTCAGTTTCCATGTTTGTTAATTTACAAGTTCAGGTCTTAATCAAATATGTGTTTATAAATAAAAAACTTCAATGATTATTAATTTATTATTTTATAAGTTTTAAAATAATTTTTGAAAGTATGAGATTATTGTATATAGTATTTTATTATTTGTTTTACTATATAGAATAATATATTTTTGAGAATGAAGTTTAACTGAATAACATTTTCTATTTTTTAAAAATAATATAAATTGGGATATATCACATTTAAAAATTTTGGTAAATTTGTTATTCAAAAAAATGAGTCTATTACTTAGTATCGACCCACTGTCCAGCTTGTCTTTTAAAAAGTTTGACGATACCAGTTTCAAGAGAGACTGCTAGCTGTTCTGCGTCGACGCTGAATGCGACCTTCCAACAAATTGCATCAAATGAAAGTTTCTTGGTTGTTTTGACACTGTTTGCAATTTGAGTAATGACAACAGACTTGTCGTTTGAACATGAGGCAATGTAAGTGACTCCACTCACCACTTTACTGTCTACCCCACGTATCCAATCGGCGTGCTCTTTCATCTCATCAACACACTTCCACACACCGCTGACATTCCGATGGATACGAACAACACTGTCACACCCACCAGACAAGATCACAACACCACCCTTCTCTTCATACAAAGAGACTGATGTCACGCCAGCAGGATGTGCGTCAAATGTGACTTCTTTCCATGCTTTTGTTGCCTCAATATACTCAACAACACTGATCTCCCCATCACTCGACCCACACACAAACTTGAGGACTTCAGAACCCGGGAAGAACGAGACGCAGTTGACAGACTTCTTGTGGTGGTGATATGTGTACACACAATCATATTTGTGCGATGCGTTCTCGCGCCACACTTTCACCTCCCCATCATACCCACATGTCGCCAACACTCCAAAACGTGGGTGACTCCAACACACACCCCACACAGCTCCTTTGTGTCTGTTCATCAGTCTTTATTCAAACTCAATGTCATTTCTTAATCAAACAAACCCAACAAATGACGTGACCTCGACAGGACTCTCTCCGCTTGCATCCGCAATGCTAACTGTTCCGTCAGACTTTGCAATTGCGATGAGTGTCCCATAGTAGTTGAACGCGACGTCTTGCTGTCTGTTAGTGCTTTTATCCCACAATGCCAATGGAAGAATAGTACTGTTCTTTGTGCTTATTTACTATACCAACAAATGGAAGTGTCAAACGGTTGTAGCTTTTTCAACAAGTGAAGCGGACTGCTGTATGTCAGTGGTGTCGAGTAATCGCACTTATTCACTCATTCACAGGGGATTCATAGACAAACCATTTCTTTGTTTTTTTTCAGTTTCTTTTTCCTCCCTTTTTTTATTTGAGATCTCTTTTTCAAAAAACACAATGTCGTAACTATAAACAAATACCATAATATTCACACACTTCTACATATATTTTTGATGATCTTTCTCTTTATCATCATGGCATTTCCTTCTCATAAAAATATGCTTGTAAACATTTGAGTTAAGACACTCAAAGTCAGTGACGTTTTTTTCTTCGTTTTGACTATAACAATGTTTTATATTAAAAAAACTATAAAATAAATTAATATTCATCACAAAAACAATATTCCATATAATACTAATAATAACAATTTTGTTAAAAAATAGTTTATTGATAATAAAACAACTAGTGAATATAGTTCAAAAAACTCTAATTATTTAAAGTTTGTCATGAGTGGTTCACCTGGGATTAATTTCTCGTCTTCTTTTTCAACGGCGACTACAGTGATTTCTTCGATTTTGAGTAATTTCTGCAAGTAAACGATTTGCGTCTTCAAGAATCCGACTTCATCAAATTGGATGGAAATATCGAGTGCGACAACACCGTCTTTTTTGACATTCTCAACAAGCATCATAGCGAAGGACATGGCTTTCTTTGAGTTCTTCTTGATGATCTCATTCTTACACAAAATGCCTGCCAAGTCTCTTTGAGCTGGGATGACGACTTCTCCGTCAACCATCTTGACAACCCCTTTAAGGGTTTTGGCGCATTCAATTTGCCATACTGGAGTAATAGTACCAACAAAGATCTCTGCGTGTTTTGGATGTTCATTGTTCACTGCTTTTGTACCTTTCTTAGCTTTTGGATGGCAGTACGAGTCGATATATGTTCTGAATTTATAAATGATCTTGTCGAGGTATTCAGACTCTTTCACGATTTGTTGATCGACTGGGCATATCTCGGGGTACTTCTCATTCCATAAGAAGGTCTTGTTACCAAGTAAGTCTCTCCAGACGTAATCGGAGAAGTGTGGGGCAATTGGGTACAACAACTTAATCTGAACTTCGATGAATTTCATGAGTAATGTTGCATTCATTTGAATACCAACAGTCTCACAATAAGCAACGTATGAGTCTCGAGATAAGATCAACTCATAGAACCCTTTGTGGAGAGCTTCTCTGAATAACATCTTCTCATAAGCCGCATCTGTTAAGAGTACAGCGTTGTTAATTCTTGCGTCAAACGCTTTCTCTTCAAAAGTGGATGGCACCCCCTCTTTGCATTTTTTGTCTTTAATGAGTTGCAACATCTCTTTGATCCATTGCAACAACGTGTGTAATCTCAAAAGACCAGTGTCCGCTGTTTCTTTGGCAAAGTTGGCATCTTCAACTCCATCACCGGCATCAGCAAGTCCGATTCTCATGCCGTCGGACGTGTACTTCTCAATTCCTTCAGTCAACGAAAGGAAGTTCCCAGTCGATTTAGCCATCTTCTCGTTATTAATAAGTAAGTGCCCGTTAGCTCTCATTCCTTTCGGGAACTTTTCTTCACCGAAAAGTGCGGTGTGGGTGTACAAACAGAACAAGCAGTGGTTGGTCAACAAGTCCTTACCAGTGACTCTGACATCAAATGGGTACCAATACTCAAACTCCTTCTTCATAGCTTCCAGCGTCTCTTTAGGAATTGTTGTGTCTTTAGGGAACTCGCCGTTGTTGAAGATATAGTCCCAGACGGTTGGTATCATCTGCTCTGGTTTAATATGTCCAAGTCCTTCTTTAGTTCCATTCAAATTTCCTTGAAGGAAGTGGGCTATAGTGTAATAAGCCATATAAATAGTCGAGTCGGACAAGGACTCAATCAAGTATCTCTTATCCCATGGGATTAATGTTCCAAGACCAAAGTTTCTCGAACATGCCCATTGGTTCATCCAGTTCAGTCCGTGCTTCAAAGTCTCACGGGTAGAGTTGTGGAATGTTTCCATTGTTTCAAGACGTCTCAAAGTCTCATTCTTCCAATTTTCTTCACCATAAGTGATATACCATTGATCACACAATGACACAACACACTCATCTCCACTTCTAGAAATGACTTGAGCGGTCGGCTCAGAGTAAACAAAAGCTTCTCCGGCTTCGATCATTTCTGCGCGAATTGGAGTCTTGGCGTCTTTAATCTTTTGACCAGCATATTTCCCAACAGTCAACACACCATTATAGAAGCCTTGGGTGTACACTTTCTCTTTAGCCTCATCAAGTAATGTTCTGTCATTTGGTGACTTGATCTTCATTTGTTCACAAACAGTCTTAGCAGCGTGTTTTCCAAGCTCTGGGATTTCACAAATTTCAATCAAATCGAAGGGGACAACCCACTTGTCTTCAACATTAAGCTTCTTTCTATACTCCGGTTTGTTCTTCAAAACAAAAATGTTCATATAATCGTCCGGAGAATCAGATGGGACACTAGTGACTATTCCAGTCCCTTTATCTTCCAAAATTGTTGTCATAGGAAGAGTATAAATCTTCTCATAAGACGTCAATGGTGCTTTCAAAGCAGCTCCCAGTAATTCAGACCCCTTCACTGAACCCAAAGTAACAGCTTTCCCATTCACTGGTTCGGCCTTGAGTAATTCCTGGTATACCAAATTGTTTCCACATCTTTGTGTGCACACAACAATTTCACCATTTTTCATCTCGAAGAGGTGATACTCGATATCAGGGTGGATCCAACAGTTTGTTTGTCCATACATAGTCTCTGGTCTTAAAGTGCCAGCAATCAAAAAGACTGATTTGCCTTCTTTCATGAATTTGTTGACCAACTCGGACTTGGTCTCCAACACTTTCATCTTGATTGCAGTGTATTCCTGTGGAAGGACACCTTCACCGCTTGATCTATCATGATCTGCGCATGGTTGTCCATCAAGTGGGGAGTAAATAGTGTATCTCTTCCCAAAGAGAATCTTCCCGAGGTTCTTCAATCTCCAGAACTGCCATTGGACAAAGGAGTCATAGAACTTGTTGTGGTCTGTTGTGATGAACGATCTTCTCCAGTCGACCGCAAGACCCATTAATTTCAAGTCTTCAACACCGCATGTTGGGAAGTATTCCAACCAATGCAATGGGTCGACAAATTTGGGGATGTCACTCTCTGGGATGCCATTTGACTTCAAAATGTCCCATTGATGTTTTCCACCTTTTTGTTTAGCCTTTGCCTTGTTGGAGTGATGGGCATCTATAGCTTCGACTGCTCGTACTGTTTTGGTCTCAGTGACTTCTTCGTCGTCTTTGAAGACGGGTGGGCATCCATATTTCTCTATCTCATTCTTCAATTTGTCCGCACAAGCCTTGATTGGCATTCCAGTGCAATGGAACCCAAATGGGAACACGACAGCTTCACCTTTCAATTTGTGATATCGAGCCGCAAACTCGGCTTTTGTTAAAGTGAAAGTGTGTCCCAAATGAAGTCTACCATTCATGTATGGGAACGGGAATGTGGGCATGAACTTCTTCTGTGATAAGTTCAATTCGCCTGTTTCGTATAAGTGGTTCGCTTCCCATTGGGTGGTCATCTCTTTTTCAATAGCTGCTAACTCGTCTCTTTTGGCGGTGCTTCTTGGTTTCTCTGCCTTGTTCACTTTATTGTCTTTGGTTTGTGCTTTCGACATATTCTGTGTGTGAATAATTTTGAGGGTTTTTCAACCCTCAAAATTTTTGAGGATTTGTGTGTTGTTGTTACTCGTCGTTTTATACTCTTTTGCCCAACGAAAGAAGAATTTCGTCTTGTATTCCAATGAATTACAATTGAAAGGACTATAATAATACATTCAGTCATACATTAAGTTAAATAAAGTGACTGTTCGTTGTAATAATTTTTAACGGCATTTACAACACAATGGTGAAGAGTTAAAATTTGAATTTTTTCAAACGTTATAATTGAGGATTTTTTCGGGAGAGACTTAACCCATTTTTGGGAAGATTTATCAGAAGATAAAAGCTTCATCTATCGGGTTTATTTAATAAAAACTCTCTGTTATAAATTATACAATATCTGCATGACGTAGACGTGATGTAATAAAAACTACAAAGAGTATTAATAGATTCTAATAAACTTGTGTTTATAATAAATTTAATTAATTAAAAAATTAAAATAACTATAACGACCATTTTTAAGTGTTATTAGTTAACTAGATTTTTATTATTAAAATAAATTAAACGACTAAGTTTAATTAGTTTATTATCAAGAAGAGAAGGAGCAAAGCAACTATACTCATTCCAAGTGATGAATTTGTGGTTGAAGTAGAATTCGAATTTGTTTCACTATGTTCACTAGTACTTGGTTGATCATCCGTACACGATCCGGTGGCTCCATCTGACATACAATCCTTGTAAGGTGTAAAGTCTGCTTCATTGAATAACTTCATACAAGTCTTCGACAATTCGTCCATTGTATAACCTGCTTTGCACCCCGTGCAATCAAAGTTTGAGTCACATGAAGCGCACCCTTTATCCAAATCACAGCTCGACCCATACATCAGCCCCGTCGATCCAAAGCTTGTGGTGTAATATCCGAACGCACAAAGGACTTTAGTCGATATTCTAACATATCCCTTTTCACCCCAAGAAGCACCCCAAGTATTTCTGCCAATGAAATACTCATTTCCATTAGTATCCTTTCCGTATCCAACAATGATGATCAAGTGGTTAGTATATCCATTGGTGCAGTAACCGTCTTCTGCCATTGTGTAGACACCTCCTCCGTACTGGTAAAAGTCGAATGACATTGCATTGATCCCAACGAAGAATGCGCCGTAGTGGTGGAGCACTTTCTTCAGTAATTTTACTTTCTTCTCCCCAGTCTCTTTAAAATTGAAAGCTCTGTATTTCTTCACTTTGATGTATTTCTTGGCATTTGGGTGCGCATTGACTCCACTCGCCACACACTCTGGTGGATTATTTGTAGCATTATAATTCTCAGATTTAGTTTCATAGTCTGTGTATGGGTAGTCAACACCAGATACAACTATTGGTGCGGCCTCCGCACAATTCATTGGGTTACCACCACAACACCTATATGAGTATAACATGTTTTCCCAGACATTCGCTTTTACTGTTAAGTCTAATAACTTTTGAACGGACATCACTGGTTTCTGCATTTGAGATGCGGCGCGGTTGTTCGAATAATAGGATATGTTCGCATAGCGAATTTGAATGTAATTTGCCATCGCTGATGCATAACACGAGCCACATTGCCCTTGGTCTATACCATCACCACATAAGTCGACTTTAACTCTTTCAGTGTTGTAATTGACGTAATCACCACAATACGAAAGATTCATTGGAAGCCGATCACCAGTTGGGAGGTCGACTTCGTTGACGTTATAATAATCAACAGGGGTGTCTGCGGGTGGATAGTCGCCACTTTTGATGTGGTCAAACTCTTTTGGTGCTGTAAATCCCATAGAAATTTCAGAAGGATACATGTCTGTAAATTGGTTGATTTGATACTTCTGTAGGTTGTTTGATATACTCCGCTCTCTTATTTTCTTTAAAGAAGAACGGAAGATAGCAAGACGTGCAAGGCGGTTCGCAGGAGTGAGATATCGTCGATTAAATTTAGTTTCAAACTCCGAGAATAGAACCAAATCTGGGGCGTTGAAGTCGTCCAAGTTGGCTGTGCAAAACGTGAGTAACAAAAGAAGCAGTATAATCATCGTTTGAATGCAGGTTTATAATTTGTTCTTTAAGTCTTTTTAAATACCTATTCTTTTGTTTTTCAACATTATAAATACAAATGCAATTTATTTATTCTAAATTTATCTTATTTTGGGGTACTACATGTTTGAGATTCTTTAGAATTGCTATATTTCTATTATTGGTATTGTAATATATTTTAATAAAATTGTTACTATAATTATATAGTTTGTTATTTTTAGATAAGAATAATTATAATTTAAATTACAATATTATAATTCCTTAATCAAAATGTAATCATAAAAAATCGAATTTTGATTGAGATGAAAAGAAAAACAATTAATAAACCTTCAATATTTTATTAGATGAATACTTTTATTACTTTAATTGTTATTTGTTATTTTTTGTATTTTTGATAAAAATAAAAACATTTATTTATTAATTATTACTAATAGTTATAGATAAGAGAGAAGGATAAATTATTTAAGTAAAAACTTGT